CTCCATAAAGCCTCCTGATCAAATATTTCTTCTATGGAAAAGGGGTATAATCTTGTAAAAGAAGATTGGTTGCTTTGGTCTGTGTTTATATACAGAGATATATTTTATTCTCTCTTGTTTTGGCATTTGGAGTTGCCTTTTAACTGGTTTCACTGCCTCCAATTTCTCCCTATTCCAATCAATTTTGTATTCTGCTATTGAGTTAATCTTCAGGAGACTCTTACATCACTTGTCTGCTCAGAGCTTTGAATGGCCTCATGTTGTTTCTGTAACAAAGGTCAAACATTTTATCCTCGTATTCTAAAATACTCAGTTCATTTCAAAATGTTATTTATGAGTACTTTCTTTTATTGGTTCTGTTTCAGTCAAATGAAACTACTGCTATTTGCCATATCCAACACAAACTTTTCTTATTTCTAAGCCCTTGCCTTAAATGCACTTTCCATTTTCTTAGACTACATTTCTCTGGTCTCCTTACACCTAAAGCTTTTCTGTATTTCAAGACTGAAAGGCCCCTATTTTTACAAAGTTTTCACAAGATCTTCACTACCATAAGTCATCTCTCTTTTGTTTAAGCCCCTGCTACACCTTATTTGTGCATTTTGATGGTATAGCACTTCTTCTCCTAATATATGTGTTATGTATATGTGTGTAATTAGACACACACATGGTTCACGTCCGGGTCCTGTTTGCTTTGCTAGGCTAAAGATATGAAGGAAATAATGGAATAATCTTCCTTGTACCACTTCTTTGTGTACTGTCTTTCATACAACAGGCATCTAATAATTATTCTTAATTTAGAGTGTGATGTGAGGCTTGTCTGTGTTAATCTGTAGCCAAAGATGTAGAATTATGGAAATGCGGGAGTAAAAGGATCCTCAACATAAATAAAATTTTAGTGTGGAGAATAATGAAAGTGATTCTATTTTATGATGAAAATACATAAAAGGATATGTCATAACTCATCCATGTCCATCAGAATTTCTAGCAGGGGAATAGAAAGACCATGAAAATAGCTCGTGCAGTCAGTTGGCCATCCTGCAAAACTTCTTAAAATGTGATGTAATTGAAATACTATTGTTTATATTCAAAAGAGGAAGTGTAACAGCACAGGATAGACTACAGTATGTGGTCCTGGTACCAATCAAGAGGGCAAGTAGAGTCAGAAGTCAAAGGCTACAGACAGTTTAGGGAGCTATAAATGCTTGATTTAGAGAGGTGGTTTTCATTTTTCATAGCATTCAATTAAAGAATTGAGTGTGTGTGTGTCCAACGTTCAAGATACAATATATACCTATATTATACCCCTGGAGAGGAAAAGCAAAAGTGAGGTGGAATGAATGTTTTAAAAACCACAGTGAAGAAAATGTATTGATATAGGTAAAGATCTAAATCTACATACTGTAAGAGCCATTTTGTATCTGCAAAAATGGACCCAAGATGATACCTTGGAAATATAACAAAGGAAGAAGACAAAGTCATTTATAAAGGAAGGGAAGGAGGTTGACATTGATTTTCTTAACAAATATTCAAGACAATAAGTAAAGGAATAAAATCTTCAAGATATTCAAGCAAGAAGATGAAGAACGTTGCTCCATTCAGGTTGGTCCTTTGTGTCTAAAGGCTGTAGAAAGCTATGGAACTTGCAAGAAGTCAGAGGATATTGTCCCTAGGGGCTCTTCCTAAGAAAACTGTTACAAGATGTGTTTTATAAAAAAGGTCATAGGAGACTTTGACAGAGAGATCAGTGGTGAGGATTTTATATATCCAATATATATTTTATTTTTCTAATTGAAGATCTTCAGTTGTGGACAAGGGTTAAAGAAGAGTTTGTTGTTAGTGTTAAAGGCAATGCCATAATGAAAGTGACACAACTAAAACACAGGGAAAGGTGGGAGAGGGAAATTAAATGATTTCTTTGGGTATTATTTAAAGCTGGCAAATAATGGAAGCTTAAGTGTATTTAGTACAAAGTTTAAGCACTAAGAAAGATTAATATTGGCAAAAAGTGCATGATAGAGAAGAGGAAAGGGTAGAAATGTATTATAGATGAATTTTATCATGATTCATAGTGAGGAAATAATATGTATTATCTAGAGGAAAATAGAGGCTATGGGTGTTCAAAAGTGTTAATAAAAAGGTAACCAACAGAACAAATTTTCAACTTCTTTGATTCTAAAAGAACACAAAAACAAAACAAAAGAAAACTTAGTGGCATACAGCTGAAAAATGAAAAGAACTGCAAGGAAATCTTAAATATCACTCAGTAATGTTACTGTAAATAATGATATTTGTACTATATTGTGTGTGTTTTTTTTTGTATATCGCAGAATAAACCAATAATTAACCTGAGATTTCCAGTGTATCAAAAGAAACAGACACAAGTATTGAATCAAAGAAATTAAATGAAAATTCTGAAATATTAAATTTGCTCTGGGAATATCAGTTGGATTCGTGGTGATACGATGTATTTCCTGCTTCTGCCTAGTGGATGGCCATGGGAGCCATGGCGCTCTATCAGGAATCACCATTCCACTGCCAAAATTTTGTTTTCTAAATATCATTCTTCACAAAGAGGTTTTCCTTGGAGAAATGGCTGTTTGTAGGCTGGAAGCGAGAAGATACAAGGTGAACTTATGACACCATGTTGTGCTAGAAAGCAAGGAAACACAGACTCTAGTGGGTTGGGTCAAAGGGTCATACAGAACTCATAGTCATAGAAAGCAAATGTATGGTTACCAAAGGAGAAAGAGGAGGGGAAGGATAAATTGGGAGTTTGGGATTAGCAGATACAAAGTAGTATATATATTACATAGATAAACAACAAAGACCTACTGTATAGCTGCAGGAAACTACATTCACTATCTTGTAATAACCTATAATGAAAAAGAAGATACACATGTGTGTGTATGTGTGTGTGTGTGTATATATGTATATATGTATAACTGAATCACTGTGCTGTACACCAGAAACTAACACAACATTGTAAATCGACTATAATTCAATTTAAAAAAAAGTTATCATTGCCAAATTTGGTAATTTTGTCCATCCAAAAGAATAATGACTATAGTTGATTGAAACATGTAGAGTACATAAATATCCATAAGTCCATAAAGATATAAAAGAAGAAAAAATTTTTAAAAAATGAGTTACTGGCCACTATTGGAGGTGACTATTAAGTCAGATCCTTCTGAAAATTGGTAATTAAAGACACATTATTATACATTTATCTGGCTCTTCAGTGAGAACTATAGTTCTGGCAAAGCAAATACTCCAATTAATGAGCAAAGTTTTCTCTACGGAAGAATGTTAGCTAATAAATATAGGACAAACGGAAGAATTTAAAGAATACACAAACATATAGAATATTGTGATGTCTCATATATCTACCTATATATTACCAGGAAACCTGTCATTTTATAGAAAGGTTTCCTGTTGTTAAAACTTTTTTTTTTTGCCAAAATGCATTCATTCAATCAGTAGTCATTTGAGAACCTAATATGTGCCTTTGAAAAAAAATGCTGCTGTTTAATATTTTTGCATTATTTTCTCAAGCTGGGTCATTTAAAATAACAGTTATAAATGCCATTAAACTATATAATTTCAGAACCGAAAGGAGACAAAAAGGTCATTTTGTCACTCCCTGCTCCCTGCCCATTCTCATTTTATAAGCAGGAATCACCTTATCCACACTCATACCATGAATACTTCATGAAAACTATCAGTATTTGAGGAAAGGAAAAGAAACTGGCAAACCTTTAAGAAGCTAAAAAAGCACTGACCTCTATGACGGTTCGGCTTATCTGGTTGAAATGCTAAGCACTTCTTTCACGTATTTGTTTTTAGTCTTCAGAAAGTTAAAACCCACAGATGGCCACTCTGGGTCACTTTGATTTTTTTTCTTTCTTTGGCCGAATTGATATTTCCCCTCAACTGATACCAGACTTGAGCTGTGTGGCTGAAGCAATAGTTCAGGTACCAGGGCCTGCAAGTGCCCTCTCCACTCAATAACCAGCAAACTAATTTGAGGTTCCTATCGACTTGAATCTGTCTGCTTTATGTCTTGAGCCTGTGAGCGTGTGACCTCTTCTGCAGAGATCTGCTGCTTCTGGGCATTTTGTAAAGTGCTGAAATCGTGTGGAAAACTACTCTCCATGCTTTGCAAAATAATGGAAAGAGAGTGTTTCCTATCTGCCTCCCGCAGCGGTTTCCCGATAATAAAATTGAAGATGTAGGTTTTATTTCCATTTAATTTTGAGAACCATCTTGAGGTATTTTGGTTCCTAACTTTAACTCCTTATCTATTATCATTATGATTCATTGTTTCTCTCAGCAGTAATTTCTTTTTGACTGTTCTTCATAAAAAAATCTACGTATTTTCCCAAGTCATTTTCTGTTTTCTTTTTAAGAAATACAAAAGATAATGTTTGGCCAGAATCTCAATCTTGAAATTCCATCCATTTCCTGATGTGTTTAGGAAACAGGCAATTAAGAAACTGGCCGTCCCTTTCATCATCTCAGAAAATTAGAGAGATTTTCTTTATGGCTAAATTACATTTCTGAAAACAATTGAGAAGGCTTTTCTGTTATTTATGCAGAGATTTTATGTTCCTTAAACTTTTGTGTGTATATTGGTCATTTAAGGAATAAGGATCTTAATTTTCTATTTTGCTGTTCCTTTTCTTACTTTGTAATTGTCCTTTTGAAATCTTGCTGAGGCCAACATGAGCTCTTTCATTGTATAGGCGACTTGGCTTTTGTTTCAGCCATTGAGATGACAAAGCATGCTTCTAAGGTGATAGAGTAATCTCATAGTTGGCTCCTGTACACAGCAGCGGCCTTTCCCCGGAGGCCTTGAACCACTTTCTGGGTACATTTATTTCCTCAGGTCCCTGGGTCTTTACAGGCAGCAAGTGGTCTAAAATGGCTTAGGAAGGAAATGACCTTTGTTCTGGGATTTGCACTCATGCTGCTGTCTTCTCTTTCCTAGGACTGTTGTTTCTGATTCCCTGGCTGAACTCTGAGACCTTGGGGCTTATCCCTGTGGATCAACTTGCTCTGTCAGATGCCGTCTCTAGTGGACCTCCCTCTCCAGACTCCTGCTCACACTGGCTTCCTGTAAGTTTTTTTGCTAAGACTGTGACATCTTTGCGGGCTGGGGTTCTGTCTTCTTCATTCCTGTGTCTGCTAACATAGAATCTTGCCCAGAGTGGGGACTTGAGAAATAGTGGCTGAATGAAAGCATTAACTGTGGCACACTGAGTTTGTCAGAGGTGAGTTGGGGATGCTGCGTTGCTGAGAATTTGTAAGAAATCTTAGTGGGAGAAAGCCTAGAAGGATGGAGTGGATACTGAATTTTCCTGTGCACCCCTCCTCTTCCTCTTCTGTATCTATTCACTTGGAGCTTAAGTAAGTGTTGACTGGAAATAGACCATTCCTCTGAACCATGTTCTCATTGGCACCTCTACTTTTCCAGTTTCTACCCTTCATTCCCCTGACCACGATGATATGAATTCTCTTTACCAGAATAATAGTGGAGGGGATTGTCACCGTCCTCATTTTAAAGATACAGGGAAATATCTACATGACCGTGAGAGAGGGAGAAATTTGAATTGTGAGAAGTCGTACAGCTCAGTGAAGGCATATGAAACATTTAAATTTCAGCTTCTTTGATGGGGCAGAATGCTCTGGGAGGACCAAGAGACACTACACATAGAAGTTGTGCCTCGGGTGCACAGCAGGACCACAGGGTCAGGGAAGCAAGGAGAGAGGCGAGAGAAATGCGCTGGAGATGGGGACGCTGCAGTGCGCGGGGTTCCTTAAGCTAGGCAGCCATTCGGCTGTAAGCATGCCTACGGGAGAGCCATGGGGGGCTTTCTTCGACTTTTGAGTAACTGGTGGCCTTAGACATGAGCTTTTGTGCCTATTCTGCTATGGGCAGAGTTTCCTGTAAAAACGTGTATGCACTTGGCTGAATGCTCAGATGATGGACAGAACTCTGCCTTCAGTTACCACTGAGGATCCCTTCTGCAAGCCTCCTTCCAGAACCAGGAAATGTCTTTCTCTCTAGACTTTCAACTTAAATGCGTCCTGAGGATTGTGTGGCTGCTTTCAGATAGGGACCTGCTGTATTTTTTCCCCTTTGTTTTCCTGCACCTTATCTTGCATTAGCCTTAGACTAGGAAAATGAAAACCCTGGGGGCACTTGGGAGCTTCTGCAGCCCAGACAGCAGAGGCTGAAGAGCTCTCCCCTCTCAGTGTTTTTATGTCCTTTCAAAATGTCAGTTAGCACCTTTAAAATAAAGTCTGCCATCAGAGACACGCTCTTCTCCTCCCTGTCTGGTGCGCCAAAGATAGACATTACTCTGTCTGCTTTAGTTCTCAGCTTCCTGTCATGTTTGGCAAAAATTTAATTGCCTCTCCTTTCAGAACAACTTTTATTTGTTTTCTTAGCTTTAACATTTCCTCTAAAAGAGTGTTTCTGCAGCAGGGAAATGTAGACAGCTTTGGTTTTCGCTGCTGTAGGACTGGCTTCCCAATGTCTTTTAAAATGAAATTTTATGCCCAGAAAAGATGCCATGGGGGCCAGGCAGTGTTGATCTATTCAAGGGTGACAGTTCACGGAGGGAGCCAAGTTTACTCAAGTTTAACTCCAGGCTGGGTCTCATGACAGGCATTTCTTCACTGCCTTTTAGTACATTGTACACTACCTTTGCGAACTGAATTAAATAATAATGAGAATAACAGTAATACTCCCACTCAGTCAGCTGCTCTTACCCCAACCTTATGGTCCTTCTCCTTAGCGGGTCCTTGCTCTCCATCCTGGTGATTTTATACTGATCTTTCAAAACCTGGCTCACATGTCATACGGAATGAATACTGCTCTCCTCTCTGTTGCCAGAGCACTTTTCACATATATTGACTGCGTGATTGAAGGACTAATCGTACATGAACCTGACAACTGAGCCCTCCCACTCCCCCTACACACGATGTGAGGTGTTTAAGGTGAAGGAATGTGTACCTGATTCATTCTCAAATCTCCAACATCCAGCCCAGGGTCTGATACATAAAAGACATGTACTAAATCCGTGAATAAATGTGAATGGTACTTTTGCACGTAGATCTCACAGTTCATACTGTCCTCAAGTATTCCACTGTTGTATGCAAATTGATGTTCCAGACAGGAGCATGGATTTACAGGGAACTGATTTTCTAAGCATTGAAGTGGGACCAAAGGATAAAAAGAACAGTATTGAGGATAAGTAAGGGGAGGTGACTAGCTGTCTGCTTTGGCCTTTGGTGAAAGAAGTCAGACTCTCTTGTGGTTCATAAATAAAGGCAATGATAAGGCTTTACAACTGAGGAAACAGGAAAGAATATATTCAGAAGGGTGATATGATACACCAGGGTGAACAAGAAGACGTGGAGAATTCAGGCTTTTCTGGTGAAAGGTTTTGAAGCAGAGATGAGGACACTGCTACTGGCCTTTAACAGAAAGGAGGAGTGACTCTGAGCGTGAGGGTCACTTGGGGAACAAAACAGCTGGAGAGGTTACAGCTGGAACTGGGGACTCTGGAGTCTCTGAGAGAAACTGTGCTGGAAATCCAGGTGAGAGATGGACTGTCCATGGGCCATATTGTCAATACTCTCCCAGACAAGCCAACTAGGAGAGGATGTCCAAATTCCTGACACTGGATGTGTCTTTCACCGTTACCCAGGAGGCAGTGGGTTGTCACAGGAGAAGCTCTCTCACGGGAAGGCAGGCAGGTGGCATGAGCTGTAATGCCTTTCCTCTCACACCTGAGCTACACAACCTGGGGGAAGTCACTAAGTCGCACAGGATCTCAGTTGATTTATTTGTAATATATAGTAACACCATTTTATCTGCGTGAAGGGAAAGGATTGCACGGCCTGATTAATTGACCTCCTCAGCTACTATAAAATCTGTTATATCTCCCTGGACATTTGACATTGTGTCAGTTGACATGGCTATTCTTAAGAGTCTGTTGTTTAAATTATTTCATTATTGAGGTTCCTGATAGATAGTGGTCACAGAGCACGCTTAGGTCATGTGACCCTAAACATGACCACTTTGGAAAGGACTTTCTTGTTTGTAGTATTGAAAATCTACATTTAAGACAGGTGAACTTTATATTTTAGTAAGAGGATTGAATGTTAAAAGTTGATTTTCCTTAAGATCTGAAATGTGTAGAGCTGAAATGATATTTGAATATTACATAGTGGTAGAACTCTCAGAAAAATATAACTTTTAACTTGAAGAGGTCTTTGAACTCATCAAAGATATGCCTAGCTTTCTGAAGAATTAGAGGTTCTAGAAGGTTAAGGCTATTTCTTAAAATCATTTTTTATCTCTTAACAGATGAAATAACATTTAATCAGGTAAATAATCTTTTCATTTCCATCTGGCTTTCAAACACTATATAAACATAATGACATTTTTTGAAAAGATATTTTTAATGACAAGACAATATACATACTTATGGTAAGAAAAAT